GAGGTATAGCGATTGGGGCAAGAGATCCCGAGTTCATGACCATGTCCTTGGGTGTCTGCATAGCCTGGGCATGCTCGTCCCTCCACTCAAAATTCACCTCCTTTTTAAGCAGTGTGGTAAGAGGCTTCGCAATCTTCACAAAGTCTTTCATGAAGATCTGTACAAGCCCGCACGTTCCCAGAAATTCCCTTACCTGCAAGATCATCTCGCACTGTGGCCAGTCCTGAATCTTCTGCACTCGTGCCTCACCTGGAAGCTGCCCCCAGTATGTACATCAGTGCCCAACAATGACCACCTCTGAGATGCATAGGTAAGCCTTCTTGCCCAAAAAGGTTTCTCTGAAATGTTTCATCCGATGTATAACTCGGTTCATATTTTGGAAGTGCTCCTATACAAATCATCAGATCCCTGAGTTCTTCGGAATTATCTCATACCTGCCCTCCAGAAGCTCGTAACATGTCACAGGCCCCTTCACTGGCACATCGTCGATAAAGGGAACAGTGACCTCTGGTATCTCATCTTGCAGAATGTGTGTTACATTGCCATGCATGATTTGCATCAAGTTGGTATAGCCCATCAGAATTGAGGTAAGCCGGAGAGACCCTAGTGGAGTCTGGAAGGAGGTCAAGTCACAGGACCACTGGTCGAAAGCAACAAAGAGGTCCAGGCTTCCGTAGCACTCATGGGCCCTGAAGGATTCTGCCAGATGCTCCACCATCAGAGGGACTGCTGAATCTTTAATCACTATCCCGTTCAGTGGCTGTAGGTCGTGAACCAGCTGAAGTGACTTCCCATCCTTCTTGACAATGCAGAACCACCTTGAACAATATGATGAGTTCGATCCCTCACAAACCCCCAAGTCAATCTTGTCCTTGATGATCTGTACCACTTTTTTGAATATTCCCGGTGGTATCAGCATGTTCTTGAGCACCCACGAGACGTGTTCCACTGTCGGAATGACTACCGGGTCGAAGTACTCATCCTGAAACTGCCCCTTTTCCATTTCGTCCCATGCAAATGTCATGTCGTGTGTGCACATTAAGAAATCTGTGAGCTTCACCTCCTCCGGCCAGAGGAAACCATCACCCATGACATTAAGCGCATCGTGCCTCTCCTGTGTGTATGTCCCTCGAGGCTCGAATTCGGGCAGGTGAACCGGTAGGGCTGGAAGCCCCTTCAGTGGGTTGACCAGTTTCCTTCGCACAATTCAGAACTCTTCTGATAATGTGGTCACCACGGGCTTGACCCAGTTGGCCACCTTCTTGTAGGTGAATACTTCTGTCTCTTGTTTCTCAACCGTGACCCATCCTGCCTTCCCACGACTCCACACTCTCATCTCCTCAGTCCAAAACCCAGTCCGAAGATCCATGCGCTCACGCCCCACATCATACAGTGAAGAAAAATGTATTTCAGATTCGGTGACTTTACATGGAATGCAAGATGACGTGGAACTAACAGACGCAGTTTCGGACTGTACCCGGCTCTTTTTTGCACACGCCTTCTTCTCCTCAGGGTGTGTCTCTTCTATGGATCCACCTATCCTCCCCTCCAGACTCTGTTGGACAGTCCATGGTGGTGTGAGCACATACATGGAATACAATCCTAATATCGCGTCTCCTCGAGCTACACCCGATTCATCGACCTGTGAAAACCCACGAGGTTCAGATCGACTTTCCGCTGCTCAGTCTGAGCTTTTGTTGGCACCACGACCTGCTCTCCTGAGTGTGGATCTGTGATTGTGATCTGCTGCTCCCCGGAGGTGAAGTCTCGAGTCTCGCAGACTGCTGTAGCAAAGAACGGTCACCCTAAGAGGATTTTGAATGGCGCATGGTGCACCACCTGAACTTTTACTGCAATGACGACTGATCTGAAGCAGAGCCAAACACATGGCAGCTTCCTGACCATTTTTGTCACTGAGGTGTTTGCAGTCTCCAGCAGAATTGCTTCGTCTGGGTTGAGAGGGGCTCCGAGGTCTTTCCAGACATCCTCCCACATGACACATATTTGCGTGCCCTGGTCAAGGATACATTCGCACTGGAGCATGTCCTTGATCATCAGTTCGATGACCCAGAGCAGGAGCAATCCCTTTGTGGGTAACGTCATCTTGGGGGCCATCAGAAATACACTCCCCTCACCCACGCTGACTTCATCTTCGTCTGTGACTTCTTCGACCCAGGCCGTTGTTGCTACGTGCTTTGGGGTGATCAGCTCCTTGAGATGCTTCTGTGGTTCCAGGGCATGCTGCATGAGCTCTCCAATGGTGACTGTTACAGGTAGGTTGAGTATCTTCCCGACTATCCCAGAGACATTTTTCTTGTCTTCGATCAGGGTACGATATCCATAGGCAGGCTGTGAAGCCAGAATTCCCCCCAGAAGCAAACTAGCCTTGATTCTGGGTGGTCCCTTCTGCACTCCACGCCCTTCCCCAGGCCCAGCCTTGTTCCTTGCCACTGATAACCTCAACCGCATTGAAATGCACCCTTCGTCTGCTATTGTCTATCACCTGGAACACATGCTCTGTCCTGTCCGCGTTCCCTGGTTCATTGATAACTGCCATGTTGACCTCTCGCACTTCTTCGAGTATATTGACCTGGTGCAGTGGCTTATCTCTCACTTGTGGAGTCACAGCAGACTGAGCTGCTCCTAGGGCAGATGGTCCGAGGTGCTGAGAGTACCAGGAGTTGACCCGGTCCCACATGTTGTTTCTGGGGAGCACCCTCAGAATGTATCCTCCGTCTGGCAGTCGGATGTGACCATTCTCGTCTTGGTATACCTTTCCAGCCTTGACCTCCTCCTCTACGTGGGGGGCAACGACTCATGAAGTG